AAATGTTCAGCCACCCCTCGTACATATTGATCGAACCCAAATCACGTGTTCCCAGATGTCACTGAAAGACATTTTGGCCATTTTGACATTGGACCAGACAATCCAGAGATTATTAGTTGGGTTTAATGCGACTTTCAATTACAGTACAGCTATATTTAGATGTTTAAAATTTGGGGAAAGTCAATACTATATTTATAGTGCTTATTAAACAGGTATCATAATCAGGGTGAATTCAGAACGATCACAACATCATACAAACCAAAGCATGCAAAGGGCTGTAACTCTTCACATGGAATAGCGGTTCCTTGGTTTACTTGGCAAATGTGTCCCTGCCTTTATCCGAAAATACCCCTGTTGATATTGTGAGGTAAGGTGAAATGGAGTTTCATTTCATTCTCAATGTAAGTGCACAATTGCAAATATGTTCTTCGACAAAATCGAAAGTTGGAATAAGAGGTTATAAGTTGCATGGTGCAAAGGTCACGTATTTCAAAACTACGTTTATTAATTTTTAAGATCCACTTCAAACCTAATTTCTTGTTATCATGGTCCAAAAATTGTAATGTATGATTTATTTTCATATAATTGATAACTATAGTTTAAACAATTACATGTGGAAGCTTTTCAAAATGTATTCATTTATAATCAAGAATATATATTATTCATATACTCTTAGAAATAATAACCACTGTCCTAAACATCATCGTACTATAATATCTAATAAGGATGGAAGTAGGTTTGACTGTATATTACGTTATGACTCTTGTATTTTGCGTCATGAAAACATTTATGTTCGTGGAAGAAACATTTGTCCTTACACGCGACTATCTTTTAGCATAAACTTCACCTAAGTAACTTCCAACCGATAGCACTCATTTTCGCTAACGGCGAATTGCAAATGTAACGTTTACACAGCTTTAAAGATTTCTTCAAATGTACAGGTTCATATTACGTTATATCATCGTTCATCACATGAGCATCGTATCGTACTATAGTATTGACAAGTGCGCAAACTCACTTATCTATGTTACAACCTATATTTGACAATTTAACCCCCTTATATAATGTATATAGATGATCATGCACAAACAATAAATATAAAACGTAATAAACATAACGTAAAATACATAATGTAAAATACAATGACGATGTTCGCTGGTAGCCAACTGATATATTTGGCATGACTTTGCAGAATTCTCCATTTGCTGGCCTCATTAGCACCTAACCAACCCAAAGTATGATTTGACGCGTGTTTATTTTCTCTGTTTTGCCAGAAAGGCCATAACGTAAAATACACCCTTAACCATACGGCTACATCTAAATAGAAAGTCGTTAAACTCAAGTATGTAAAGACACCATATGACATGAAACGTTTTATTTTCCTTTTATTCCACAATTAAATAAACTAACTACGCGATAATACAGGTGTTCACTGCGAGTTAGAATTGAATTTCAGCTGAATTTTAGTCCATAACGTAAAATACATGAAAACAGCGACATAGAACATAGTCAATATACCATCACCTGTGGGCAAAATTCCTATTTTGACATGTTCTTTCTTAGCTGGGGCATTTCTCACAAATATGGAGCGCAAAGTGTGACACTAACGTTAATTATTATGTTGCCACTTCGATCTTAAAATAAATAAATCATATATTGTAACGTTTTATTCAAACATTACCGGAAAAAGTATTGTATATGGAGACGACGTGAATTTTTAGTAATTGTGCACAAAAAATGAATACCCCACTCGGACACATTATACTGACTCCGAGCCGACCAATCCTTGATGTACCCTTTAATGCCGAGCGCCAGGCAGGGACCGAGAAGTACCATATTTTAACGTCTTTTGGTATGACGCTGCCGGGGATCGAACCTGCGACCTTCCGCTTTCGTTGATGTTGTGGAATGAATGGGACCTCTTTAATTTCTTCCACGGACCTGAGTAGGAAAAATCCAAAATACATGAAAAAAAAAGCCGACATGGAGTACACTTTGTTGTTGTGTCTCAGACATCTTCTTTTCAACAGGCTAATCTGAAGCTCTGAGATGTTTTCAACTAAGGCCATTAATCGATGTAAGACAAAAGAATACAATGACAACTAGAGAAAACAAACAACTGATTGAAGAAGGTTTTTTTTATAATTCATCCTCTGAGCTTGCACTGAACTGTAGAAACGCAGGGGGAGACAATAGTTGAATGCAAAGATTTGAGTTTAACATCATGCTTCCATGTAAACTGTAGATCAATAACTTCCTTTCAAGCCTGCCACGCTCGGGGTATAATTCGATACTACAGTGTTTATTATGGTCATACCTTTTTTCGAAAGGAAGAAGAATACAATGGTTTTGTATGGATGTTTGAGAACCAGATACCAAGAGTAGTGGCAAGTGGGAGGACGTGGGAGGATAAAGGCTGGTGGGGAGATGGTGACATCTTTAAACATTACTAGGTTATATGTTGGTTTCAGTTTAATGTGGGGGGATACAGGCTGGTGGGGAGATGGTGACATCTTTAAACATTACTAGGTTATATCTTGGTTTCAGTTTAATGTGGGGGATACAGGCTGGTGGGGAGATGGTGACATCTTTAAACATTACTAGGTTATATGTTGGTTTCAGTTTAATGTGGGGGGATACAGGCTGGTGGGGAGATGGTGACATCTTTAAACATTACTAGGTTATATGTTGGTTTCAGTTTAATGTGGGAGGATACAGGCTGGTGGGGAGATGGTGACATCTTTAAACATTACTAGGTTATATGTTGGTTTCCAGTTTAATGTGGGGGATACAGGCTGGTGGGGAGATGGTGACATCTTTAAACATTACTAGGTTATATGTTGGTTTCAGTTTAATGTGGGGGATACAGGCTGGTGGGGAGATGGTGACATCTTTAAACATTACTAGGTTATATGTTGGTTTCAGTTTAATGGGGGATACAGGCTGGTGGGGAGATGGTGACATCTTTAAACATTACTAGGTTATATGTTGGTTTCAGTTTAATGTGGGAAGATAAAGGCTGGTGGGGAGATGGTGACATCTTTAAACATTACTAGGTTATATGTTGGTTTCAGTTTAATGTGGGGGCATACAGGCTGGTGGGGAGATGGTGACATCTTTAAACATTACTAGGTTATATGTTGGTTTCAGTTTAATGTGGGAAGATAAAGGCTGGTGGGGAGATGGTGACATCTTTAAACATTACTAGGTAATATGTTGGTTTCAGTTTAATGTGGGAAGATAAAGGCTGGTGGGGAGATGGTGACATCTTTAAACATTACTAGGTTATATGTTGGTTTCAGTTTAATGTGGGAAGATAAAGGCTGGTGGGGAGATGGTGACATCTTTAAACATTACTAGGTTATATGTTGGTTTCAGTTTAATGTTGGAGGATAACCAGGGTCCCGTTCTTTAAAGCGATCGTAACGCTAAGGTAATCGTAACTCCCATACTTTAACATAGGTGAGGTGAGGTGAAATTGGGTTTAACGTCGCGCTGGAGAATATTTCGCTCATATGAGGACGTGCATGCGTGTGTATGTGTATGTGGAGCTGCTTGTACTAGCCCAGACTTAAGCTGGTTTTATAGTGCTAGCTCACTGAGGTACCATGCCGCAGTGAAGCATGAATACCCCACTCAGACACATTATACTGACTCCGAGCCGACCAGTCCTTGTTGTACCCATTAATGCCGAGCGCCAGGCAGGGACCAACAAGTACCATATTTTAACGTCTTTTGGTATGACGCGGCCGGGGATCGAACCCGCGACCTTCCGCTCTCCGGGCGGACGCTCTAACCACTACACCACGGAGGCGGTCACTTTAACATAGACTACGATCGATCGCTTTCAGGAAACGGGGCCCTGAAGAGTGGCAGGTCTTGGCGTTACCATACCAACGATGGGTATGGTGCTGACAAACACAGAAACATATTCAGAGCGAAAAGGGATTCGAACCACAATCATCGTGTACTGGCATGCCTAAGGGAGGCAACTGCAGACAACAAAATTTTGTTCCTGAGACTTCTGGCGAACTGTGCCAAAGAAGACGGGGTCACATTGTTTGACCTGGTTGATATTGTATCATCGCGTCTAACCCCTGTCAACAAACCAGTATCAGGTATAAAGGATTGGCTGGCTGGCTGGTTTGTTGTTTAACGCTGCACTATGCGATATTCCAGCTCTATGGCGGCGGTCTGTAAATAGTCGAGTCTGGTCCAGACAATCCAGTGATCAGCAGCATGAGCTTCAATCTACGGAATTGGGATACGATGACATATGTCAACTATGTCAGCTAGCCTGACCACCCAAGTAAGATCATGGAATTGTGAGGCCTTATCACAGCTAATTCAATAAATTTCACATCATCACAAGCAGAATATGAGCAAACAGAGCTTTTGATGCAATATCGTGGCAACGCACGGCTGGTCAAGATCTACTCGTGATAAATACCTTCGAATCCTTCCCATAATCTGTCCCAACAATAATAGTACGATGCTGTTTGGCACCTCACTTCACTATCAGAGTGGACATTCGGGAATAGCTAGTACATTGTCATACCATCTGCCGAACTGGTTCCAAAACCGAAAAACAAAACTGACTGGAACGTTCTCACTTCCGCTGTGCCTCCTCAAGCAGTAAGAGCGACCAGTAGATGAGTGACAGAGAAAAGGTGGAGAATCACAATCGTTGAAGGCAAAGTTTATGGAAAGCGTGATGCAATATTTCAAATGTACGAGGACGGTAGGTAATTAATCAGTTCTGGACCATACAATCCAGTGATTGATGGTATGAGCACCAGTCAATGCGATAGGAATACGATGAAATACATCAACCAAGTCTGCGATCCTGACCACCCGATCCCATTTGTTGCTCTTGGGGTAAGCATAACTGGTGAAGACCATTTCTAAGCCTTTCCCCCAAGTAAAGTGTGACCTGTTCGTGGTTGAGCAACAACTAACAACTGACACCAACAAACTCATAAAATATACAAACACAGGGGTTTTAATTGCATAATTTATTTGGCTTGTAATATCAATTTAGGTGATAAACATCTATTTGAAATACAAAAAACCAACAGCCCTACAAATGGATACGACGTAAGTCTTTCTAGTTCTACCATTTCAACATGTGATAACAATTATGGACGACCAATATAATATCAAAGAAATCGTTACTTAACTTGATGGATTATATTTTTACTAAAATCGGTCAATTTCAAAGTATTCCTAAATGAGTTAGTACCTTTGGATCATCATAATCAGCAATATCAATTTGACCAAAAATCAGGTATTTATCAGTTTATATGTTTACATATAAATGTGTTTTTTTAATTCATCCTAAATGAATACCACTGCACTCAACATGATCCATTGTACATTTCCATGTCTCACTGAAACGTGGACACAAGACAAGATCAGCTACACATTATATCGACCTTTCTTTCAGTCAGGATATTTAATTATATCACTCAATCTATTGGCATGCTGAAACATTTAATATTATTTACAAACACATATCAAGGTATGCATTAGAGTATCCAATTAAATAACTGCAGTATACATACACATTGATGATTGGCTGGAAGACTCCGGAATATAACACGGACACTGAGACTCAAGGCCAGTTATGAATAGTAAACTATTAAAGAGCACCTGCACAGACCGTGTAATGAATAAATAGGTCCAGTGTATTTGTAATGTTATACGACCATATGGATTCTGTTAAAGATATATGCCCTCAGCAACCTGTTTGTCAGAGGAGGCGATTAAATAGATCGGGTTGTTACGCTCGGTGAGTATTGATTTTAGCCATCTACTCTCAAAGATTCCTGCTCAGTATGTCAGTCATGGGATTATCTGGTCCAGACATTATCTTAAGAACGCTGGAATATTGCTGAATGTGGGGTTCAACAAAAAACACAGGATAAGGATTAAAATGTCCCCTAGTGAATAATGTCTTAATGACATTTACGAATAGAATGAACAATGTCTGACCCTGCGTTTAGCCAGGACTGCTGTGGACTGTCAGCCCGACGTGTCTGGACACTGTCGTCAAATGATGTCAGCTAACGCCTACCGCAAACTGTGCCACACAGGATCATATGCGTAGACATTCACAGATATGGTACAGCTGGCTGAAATGGCTGAATTGTTTAGTTGGGTAATTAAATGTTTCTGATGTCCTCTTTGAATACACAATCCATTTTAGAAAGTGGTCAAATACAACATATGTTATATTTGAGATTACACTTTCTCAGTAAAGTACAGATTCTGTCCGGGATTCGAACCAACGCTCAAAGGAAAGCACCAAGCCGCCAGCACACAAAGTCAGCGATCTAATCCTCTCCGACACCGCGGCTTCTACATGAAAGAACATGAGTACGTGCTTGAATGACGGTGCAATCCCAAACATAACACGTTGGGTGTTTTCTCTTAAATTGGCTCGAAAGCTCGAAAGAACACTTTTTCAAATCAAAAACAAAACACAATACGACAACACAAAGGATATACGTGAGCTGTAATACTGTTGAGAAAGAGCGATGTTTGTCTCAAGGAAAACACTTGATGATACTCACACCCTTCAAAACACACATACAGGAGATACACTAGTATTTAAGGATTTTACCCGTGCTTCAATTACATCACGAACACTTCATAACGAACAGTCGTACTGGGTGTTTTGGAACAAAATCTTGGTGTTGTGTGAACCTAACACACTGACCAATGTGCCAACCAGGTGTTGAGATGGGTATCCCATCATTGTAATGTGTAGGTAGCAATATGGAGGACTACAAGGGCGTCTCAAGCAACTGATGCATTGTAGACAGCAATATTGGGACTACTTATGAATTTAACATGTCAAATGCATTCATGTAGGCAACTCATGTCAAAACCGATTCCGCTTTCAAAATCAAATATGTATGTTTTCCAATTACCAAATCTGGGTCCTGTCATAAAATGCAATCAAAGCAAAAACAATATCTGGACAGGTTCACAAAAAAAAGCAAATACATATGTGTCTAAAATATGCAAATTGTATCCATAAATGATATAGTGCCACCCCTGATATTATGATATTGTGACAAGAAATTCAGGTGGGTTCACATCATCAGTTAAAAGGTATCAACTGCAATAAACAAAACTCCAATCAATGTTAAAGGAATAGAAAGATGATTGAACAGTTGAACTTTGAACAGTTGTATGTCTAGATTTTCTCAAAGTCAGTTATTGAGGGTCTGAGTTATTTGTCATTCTCATTAAATCAGATCAACTTCTCACAACCACTGGACTGAGATTTGAGAAGACATCCAATACTGATTAATGTCAAAATGACCCTCAATAAGACCTATCAGAATGTTCCTTTGCATATCAGTGAAGTTGCAGTCAAAATTTGTTTACTAAAAATGCAACCTCAAAGTTGTTAATTTGGGGTTGTTCTGAATAACAGTTATAGGAAGTCTGATTTTGTCAAAATCATTGTCTGTTTCTCATGTCAATGGTAAATGGACTTGAACACAAAATATTTAACATGTCTCATGTAAAGGTTGCTACACAATGCAACAGACATTCCAGCATGTTCTTTTGTGCAGTTTTCAAAGAAGACGTTTATCAAAATATTTTTAAAGCACAGTCTGGAATGAAAGTCACCAGTCTAAACCTTATACTGTTGAGCCTGAGGATGCTGCATTTTGACTGGCTAATATTACATGTAAATACTGCTTTTAAATTTCATGAATTGATGAAAGTCCAAATATGGATCTTCTGCAGTGAGTGAGTGATTGAGTTTAGTTTTATGCCGCTCAAACTAAACCACTAGGCTATCCCACCACCCTCTCCTGCAGTGACTAGTCATGGGATGTCCTCAGGCATCCAGCAGCGAGAACTAAGATCTGATTTTACTGACATTGATTATTGGTTCGTCTGGAATCCAACAAACTCAGCATCTGTGTTTCTCAAGGCAAACATGCAAATAATGAATGAATTTTCATATTTTACATCACAACAGTGAAAGGAATGGACATTATGATAACTGTTTTTTTTCAGGGAACACTTTTGTCTGAGACCAGAGTAAAATCCATTTTCACAAACCACTGGAATGGATTACTTCTTGTAGTCTGAAGAACACCATATAATGTTCAGTCATTTAATAACATTTCCAACTATCAAAATAATAAGGTTTGACAAAGTTTGGTCCCTCTAAAATACATATACTACTCAAAAAAGAGTTAAAGAACACAATTTGCAAAGAGCCATCATTAATCTGTCACAACACATGACAGGATCATTATATCATGAAACACTTGGGTGCTCCTGAACGTCTGTTGAGTAGTATATATTGGATGTTTGATGTGGAATAATTCTCTCAAGTGAAATCATACCAAAAAGTGAGTTGGGGGAATATACTGCACAGTGACAGTGACATAACTGCCCACAGTACAACACAAAGTTCACCCTCTCCACGATGTACGACATTCAGTGCCAGGAACTTTTCGAGTATTTGAGGCAACAATTTCTTCTTCAACAACCCCTGCTTCTAGTAAGACGCGACTAGCCGGATTGGGTGGTCAGGCTTGCGGACGTGGGTGACATGTCATCGTATCTAGATTGAGTACATAGATGCTCAGGCTGCTATCACTGGATTGTCTGGTCAAGATTTGATTATTTACAGACTGTCGCCATATAGCTGGAATATTGCTGAATGCAGCATTAAACCTCAATCAAATCAGCAACACACTCATAGTCTAGGAAAATAATGTAAATGATATTAGTGTTCAACATGTACTTGTTCAATGAAATAAAGACATGATTTATTATGCAATTCATCTGCTGTTTTCCTAAAACAAATAAACACCACTCATATATTTAAGTTCAAAACAAGCCTGTAAGGAAATCTTATCTTCTCATATAACATCCATAAACAAAAATCTATGAATTTATGAATTTATAAACATAAATCACAAGCTTTGTGGAGCAGAAGCAAGCACTAAGATATGAGTTCAATGACATCGTTTATGACACTGCATTATTACTGTAACACAAGACCATGGTATTACTGTAACATTCAGATAGGGATACTGTAACATATGACTATGATATCTCTGTAACAGTAACATAACACCTTGGTATTACTGTGGCATAAAGCTGTGGCACTGCTGTAACATTACACCATGGTATTACTGTAAAACATGTGGCAGTCACTCTGAGTGTCAAGCAAAGAATATATGTCAAGCATTTATCTAGACTGACTCAGATATTCGACCTCAAGTCTGCAGCAAATGTCCACATAAATTCCCTAATTCGAAATTCGCATTAATATTTCCATGGGTGTTATGGCTTTGTAGATTTGACTTGTATTTGTATTCTTCTGACAGGAATCAATACCAAGCAAGAGACTTAAATATTCAGCTTTACACTTTTGCATGGAATGCAATGTAAAACATATTACAGTACATCAATTAGTATCCCAATTTTAAACTAACAAAATGTGTTTCAAAATTTGCCTTCCATGAACATTTACATGTGGAATTCTAGGTAAATCCCTGGAAATACAAGTCCTTTTCACAAGAGTTTGCAACTACCATTTTTCATTCAATCATTTCCATCAGTCATTCAACATTGTTGTCTCAGGCTGTCCAATATATTTGTGAATATAATATATATAATGTGCACCTGAAACATAGGAATGCTGTGATGTCAATGGTTACCATGGTAACAAATGTATATATTAACAAATGTATCTAAAATATATCACTCAGTCTTGTATTTTCAGTATACTTCTTTTCTCTAAATCTTCCATCTCTTTCAACACGTATGCAACATTGTATCGTAGTTCATGGAATTTTGAAACTGGCACCTGTAAAATAAAATATGTGTATACAAATGACCCTTTTAAAGAAAAATTCAACAAAAATGAGTGTTTATATGATATATCCCTCATTATTAACATAGAGTGGCATTCCATTGATTAGGTCTGAAATGAATGAGGAGGTTACATTGCAGTGATGTCACAGGACTGAAAAAATGTTATGGCATGATCCCATTAATTCTGGTCTCAAGCAATACATGAATTATTTTCACTTTTCATTGATAATGTGACAATATGTATAATGGTTGGCTTATACTGCCATTGATTGTCTTGAGTATGTCATATGACTACTCCCATATTTGACCGCCTCTGTGGTGTAGTGGTTACAGCGTCCGCCCGAGAGCGGAAGGTCGCTGGTTCGATCCCCGACCGCGTCATACCAAAAGATGTTAAAATATGGTACTTGTTGGTCCCTGCCTGCCGCTCGGCATTATTGGGTACAACAAGGACTGGTCGGCTCGGAGTCAGTATACTGTGTCTGAGTGGTTTTAGTTCACTGCGGCATGGTATCCCAGTGGGCTAGCACTATAAAACCAGCTTAAGTCTGGGCTAGTACAAGCAGCTGCACATACACACACACACGCATGCACGTCGTCATATGAGCGAAATATTCTCAAGCACGACGTTAAACCCAGTTTCACCTCACCTCACTCGCATATTTAACTGTATGACTTGTGCAGTGATGATAACTAGTACTGGAGTGATAATGAAATAAATGGTCAGTCAATTGATCTCGCTTATTGATGGGCTCGGAAGTCTTATCAATATCCATAATTATTATGTGAGCATATATTTCCGGCTACCTGATTGGTCTAGAGACGGTCATGTGACTGTCGACAGAAAAGCATATTGACTTCAACTCAGGTCCGATCAAAAGTCATATTGACTTGAGGTACTAAAAATAGATTTTGTTTATGTAAGGGCGTCAAGCTATGACGTCATTCTATTGTTTTCATGTCACAGTATTGTTGACATAACGTTATTGGTATGTAGTGAAAATAAAATTACTTTTCTTGACTCAAGGGACGTTTTGGTTTTTAGAAGCTTTTGGGGAAAGTACATAATAAAACAATTATGGACTGGTGAATTCAGTCAATACCTGATCTTATGGACCCATGAAAAGCATTGTCCTCGATTAATATTGCTTTTCACGGGTCCATAAAAACAGGTATTGACCTCATCACCTGTCTATAATTGTATAATAATGAAACATAGAAACATAATGCAGAAAGTAAGTTTCTTTGTTGTTGTTGTTAAGATAAAGTCCTTGATAAGTTAGTGACAAGCTTTTTGGTTGTTCACACAGTTAACGATTGTTCTTAAGGGTCCAAAAACGATAGAAGGGTCCGAAAATGAAGACAAAGAACACAACACAACACACAGCTGTGCACCAGGAAATAATCTTGATGGTATTAATTGTAGTATTAATCAGTTGCAATGCTATACTTGTGTCCTGTTGTTGTCCACATAAGTTTTGGAGTGGGGTTCAGGATTATAATCGATTACTGATTGATAACTGAGCTTTGATTATCAATCTGCATATTTTGAGTGATAACCAGCAATAATTATAACTTATATCAGACCACATGCTAACTAGCAGAGCAGATGGATGTGCATACCTCAATGTTAGCAAAACAATGACTGAACGTCTCAGTCACAACCCCAGAACATACGAGAGTTGAATGACTGGATTCTTACCTCAAATGTATGGATTCTGCCATTACTGAGAGTCATCTCCATCATGACGGTGGGTTCTAGCACTCGGTTCAACACGCTGAAACAAACACAGAGCAGTCAGTTCATACTTCAGGAATTTATCTGGACTTGCTCACCCTGATCAGGGACCGATATGCAGCCCCAATTCTGCACAGAATGTCAACAAAAATTCCCAAACTGGAATAGAAAATTTCCCAATTCTTGTTAGCATCATTATAACTAATGTATGGCTTGTACATGTGGCCTATATTTCACAAGACCAATGGAGTGGAAGAGGCTTTAATACTTAGTTTTGCGTTATTGCATGGAATGTAATGGATATAGAAATTTTTAAAAATATTTACATGTGTTTTGTCCTTCTTAGCTTGTGTTACAAAGTCATGAGACTTGATCAGTTAATAGAATAACAGTTCAGCCAGTCAGAAAACTTCTGACAAAAAACACCTTTGGAACATGAAAACGTATACACTGATTTGAATTATTAAGTCATTATCGAAATTCACATATGGAATTTCCATTTTGATTCTTATCAAGCGAGAAGACTGTTGCACTGCTGCATATGCTCGTTACACAACAGGCTGCCAGCTGAAGATGACTATAGAAGCAGGGAGCCAATCTAATCCGGCAACAGTTTTGTGTAAAGGGAGGTAATTACAAATTATTTACAAAGCTTACAATGTATCTTTCAAGTTTCAAACTTCCATGTACTTATCCATGGTGATTAAATGATATTTTCCTCTTTGTTCAGCACTGTATTTTCACAGGTTGGGCAAGTCAGCATACTCACTGCATACTAAAATCCCAATCTGACTGCCATGGACACTTAGTTTGGAAAACCAAGATAATCACCTGCACAAAGTACTGCATCCAGTGGCATCATGATTCATGGAGAGCTCTTTGTATGAATTTTATAAATATTTCCAATATAACAAATCACAAAGGAATCAAATGACCCTCAAAATAGAATCCATGGCCAGTATCAGGTACAGTCTGAGTCAAAATCTCCCCTATGAATTGCACACTAACTCAAAAACAAATAATCGTAAATGACTCAAACCAACACCAAAGTAAATAGGAAAAACACACCAACTCTGCAGAATTTTATTATAATTTTGTCAACAAAATAAAAAAGTTGTTTAACAAACCATCATTGTTTTCATTCGATATTTCAAGATTTGTGACAATGGTGTAGAGACAGCTCAGGTAACAACCAGGTAAGCGAGAGGCACGTGTGATGTTGTTTCATCGGTAGGGGATGGTATCAAAAGTCATCAGACTGTGATTCTGAATCGGACATGGACTCACTGCTGTCAGGTCATCAGAGTACACTCATATGATAACAGGACTGATAGTCGCCTGTTGTAAACCGCTTTGAAGCCAGTACTGATGCTCCACAGCATTTTCATCTTTCTCAACTGATTTTTTGCCATGTGTCTTGTGAAATCTTTAGCCATGGATTTGTGGACTAGATTTTGAACGTCTGTCATTTTAAACGTGTTATTCTGGGCAATGTCAGATTTGATGATACCCCAGATCAGTTCAATCGGGTTCAAATCGCAGTGATAAGGAGGCAAACGTAAGACATCATGACTTTGTGATTTCAGATACTGGTCAATTTTATACACAGGTGCTCTGTTGTTGATTTTAATGATTTAATAAAGTTTTGGTTTTGTTGTGTTTTGTGGAAGTGGTACGTTATGGTTTTCTAACCAGGTTATCTTGTCTGACTTCCTTGAATTTGAAGTTGGGGCTTTCATATCAGGATCCTGGACACTATGATATGGAGCATTGTCCATGACAATTAAGCTCTTTGATGGCAACGCCGGTACCAGTTGTTTTTTTACCCATTCCATAAAACCTGTCCATTCATTTCGATGGGGTAATCTCAGTTGTCTTTGGCTTTAGCCCTAAACACAAGACAACACCCAGGTAAAAATCCCACAGATTTACAACCTGCATGAAGCACTATCAGTCGCTCTCCTTTGCTTAAAGGCAGTCTTCTGGAACATGCCTCTTCAGTGCTGGCAACCCATTTCTGCAGTGTGGCTTGCATTCACCCAAGTCTCATCAAGATAAACAGGCTCAAACCCCTCTTCCCTCTTTTGGCGTATGGTGCGTAAATAATTACTCATTCACATAATATCTGATCTTTCACAAAGAACACGTCTCACCTCCCCACTAACTTTGGTGTACCGAAATCCGAACTTATGAAGCAATTTCCAAAGTTGATACTTAGTACTGATATTGAGAGGGAATGCTGAGTTTCCATTTCTTTTTGCAATATGCGTAAGGATAAGTGTCTATTCTTGCTATATAAACCTCGGATTGTGTTCTTGACAAGTTGATTTTGAAACGAATCAAGTTTTTCAATTTTCAAGGATTTTGATACGCCCCCCTCCTGGGCGCTCCTGTTTGAACATGGAGTTTGTCGTTGTTTTAATAATGTTTTCAATTGCTGCTCTGGAACGCCAACAGCACAAGACGTACGTTTAAGAAATTTATCAAGTGCATAAAATGGTCTGCCCCGTTGAGTTTCAGACTTGAAGAAGTTGTAGACCTTGTAAATTAAAGCTTTAACATCAGCAGTAAACTTCATTGTGTGAGGTTAATCAATCGCTCAATCAGTAGGATAAACCGTCACGTGACAAATTTGCCCGTGCCTCTCGCTTACCTGGCTGATACCTGAGCTGGCTCTAAACCCTTGTCACAAATCTTGCAGTATCGAATGAAAATAATGATGGTTTGTTAAACAACTTTTTTATTTTGTTGACAAAAATTAAAACGCAATTCTGCTGAATTGGTGTGTTTTTCCTTTACTTTGGCGTTGGATTGAGTCATTTACGATTATTTGTTTTTGAGTTAGAGTGCAATTCATTGGGGAGATTTTGACTCAAACGGACTATAATAATCTAAAGAAAGGGAGGTAACTGTTGCACAAGCAGATTGAGAACTGATGGTGAGATGATGAACTCACCTTGTTGATATAGCTACATCTACTCTCCATCTGAACAGGTCTAAACTTGGCAGGTGGGGTCGACTGGCAACAGCATGTTTGTCTATCTTGGGTCTCCTGGAATAAACAAGAGTCATCAGAAGATGACATATCCCCCGGCCCCCACATCTTTGAAAGAACAAATCATCTGACAGTTACTTGATTTTAGACTAAGTGCAAATCGTTTCCATGGAAATCATGAAAAAAATAAATGACAAAAATCTGCAAATAGCAAAAGGCACCACTTCAAGATCTGCCTCACATATCTGCCAAGTTTTACCGTAAGATATTAAGAAGTTTTTGAGTTGTGCTCCGGAAACGAAACCTACCCCGCCTTTTTGGGACTAAGTCTGAATCGTTTCCATGGAAACCGAGAAAAATAAAAATGCCAAAAATCTGCAAACAACAGCAAAAGGCACCACTTTGGCATCTGCCTCACATATCTGCCAAATTTTGCTGAAAGATATTAAGAAGTTTTCGCGTTGTGTTCTGGAAACGAAACCTACCCCTCCCTTTTGAGACTAAGTCCGAATCGTTTCCATGGAAACCGAGAAAATAATAAATCACAAAAATCGCCAAATAGCAAATGGCACCACTTTGGGATCTGCCTCACATATCTGCTAAGTTTTGCTGAAAGATATTAAGAAGTTTTCGAGTTGTGCTCCGGAAACGAAACCCACCCCTCCCTTTTGGGACTAAGCGGGAAAAATAAATATGCCAAAATCTGCAAATAGCAAAAGGCACCACTGCAAGTTCTGTTTGATATACCTACCAAGTTTTGTTGAAAAATATTGAACAGTTATGCTCGGAAAGGAAAAATTGTTCACTCTTTATGCTCCAAACCCCAATAAATCAACAATTCTAACAGTGCCATTCACAGACTGTTTCCTGTCAGTATATCACTCTGGGAACTTCATATCAGGAGGCACTCTGGAAGTTGCTTTGTATAAGGTTTCCTGAACATGTATCTGAGGTCTGACTTAAACAACATGTCCAGAAAATGATGCATATAAATCAATTTTGTAATTCTTAAAGTCCTACCTATTTCCAAAGATGACGCTGGCAATGTCTGTCTGGAACTCCTCTGGTATGCTGTAATAAACCATATTGATGTTTCCATATACATTGTGATATGACAGAATAAAATGAAACATTTGGATGATTGTTTTTTGCACTCAGCAATATTTGCAAGTCTGTAAATAAACCAAGTCTAGGTCAGACAAGCAGGTGATTAATATCATGAGCATTGATCCATGCCAATTGGATACGATTACATGTGTCCTCTAAGTCAGTGAGTCTGACCACATGATTAGGCTAGTCGCCTCTTACGACAAGCATGGCTGAAGATCAATTCTAACCCAGATCTTCATGGGTGATCTATTTGGAAGATAAGGATATACAAGTTGATTTCGAAGAATGAAATCTATTTCAAAATGTCCAAAGAAAATTGGTATCAAAGTTCAGTGTGAAAGTACAGTGATCCTTGTCATAAACCTAGTGATGAAATCTGAAGATCAAAGTGATCCCTGGAACAGACACTACAGATTCACCTAGATTTTGGACACAGTAAATACACAAAATATGATCACTGATGATCAGCTGATAATAGCATTATTGTTTTCTTTAGTACACTTTCACAGTGATGAATTGTCAATACTCACTGTAGGTCATTTAAGTCAACCTTGAACAACTGAAAAAGACAAACACATATTAATATTTATCATGTTTACTAAAATATCTTGTGTTGGCTAATTATGAAATCATCCACAGCGATTGATCATGAAAAGTTGATCATCCAGAACAAAAATAGAGGCTCATATGCCTAAACAACATTGATCATTCTCAAGCTTAGCATTACTTCAAAGGTGATCAATGATCAGTCATTATCATGATTACAGGAATCGTGTTTGGAACAATCACCATAATCATGTTACCTTCTATAAAAACCTGTATTGTCCCAGGGTTCAAAGGTGGAAGAATATATTGACCCCTTCCACAGTGACAAACTGTGTCTAACAAAGGCAATATACATAAATATATAAATATACTGGTCCAAGCGAGCGAGTTTAGTTTTACGCTGCTTTTAGCAATATTCCAGCAATATCACGGCAGGGGACACAAGAAATGGATTGTACCCATGTGGGGAATTGAACCCGGGTGTTCAGCGTGACGAGCGTATACTGGTCAGTCTAAGTAAATTTAGGCTCAGTATTATTCATTACACTGCTATACTGACATGGTTACTATTAGCTTATATTTGGGCAAGATGACAGCCTTGAATATTGACAAAAACACTGTTTTCAGCGATTGTTTACTCATTGCCTCCTCCATGTGTATCATTCGGAAGCGATCGTGTGGAAAATAGCATTCGGCATCATTCGAGTTTTTGAGGTAAAGGTTCAAACGGTATGTGCTAATGTGAACTTTTGCGATTTGGTAAGCTGTGTTCTTATTGGTCAGTGCAAAAGGCTAGCTGACGCGATCTTCTACTAGGTTTTGTTAGACACAGTATAGCAGTGTAACGAATAATACCAAGCCTAAGTTTACTTAGACTGGTCCATCTTCAAGAGACAGTACTTAGCAATATCTGGCAAAATCAATGTAGTTGTCACCAAAAGTAGGTATCACATATTGTCTGGATTGATGCGAGTGTCAAATCAGCAAGCAAAGTGACAGTTATAACCGTCAGCTATATAAAAACTGCAAAACATTTAGCAAATTATCAGCCAAATCCCGTATCCTCACCTCCATCTTCAGTGACGTTTGAGGGTGCCTTAGAGCTGTACGGAGCAGTGTGTACAAGCCAGTATACATGGCGGTCAGTGACTCTTCACTTTCACCGTTGGAAATGATTTCTTTGATCTGTTTGTGCTTGACCTCCTCTCCCTCCATGGCTGCAACCACCACTGAAAGGGCAAATCAATGTTTGAAACTAGAGCAGTCTTTATACCACACATAAACAACTTACAAATGCATATATATATCATACATGGGCAACATATATCTACAGGTCTTACTATTCATTCTTACAGTCGCTCAATGTATGCCTAAGTTCAGTATTTATATTCATATGTCTTTATTTACAATTACAACTTTAATTTATCCAAATATAATGAACATAGTGTTTTATTTTCACATTGTGTGCCAAGAAATGGGAACAGTCTTCAATTAGATTCTAGTTCAAGGACCTGAAATGTCTTTCTCTTTTCAGCTAGAAAATAATGTATTTTCTGTTTTGTTGATGTGTATGAATTATTACTATTATTACAATTATGCATAAACCTATTTTCATTGTTCAATATTTATGAAATAGTTGACTAAAAGTATCTGTATTCGAATCAAATCATCACAACGTAACCAATCAACATGATCAAATAGTGATCAATGTAAGTTAGAATGTAACATCACTACATTTTCATTTGCCTGAAGAAAGATATACTATGTGTATTAAAACTGATAACAACAAATAACGTGTTGTACTTTTCAACAATTTTCTGAAAGTCTCTTTGTCAAGTTTGGCAAGTGGCTTTGAAAGTGCTTTCACTTCCTGGGGGACCCGGGCTCCGATGAATGATGTGCGATCTGCTGAAGCACTGGCTTTCACGCCCGATCCAACAACTTGGACGATAGACATCTTGCTATTGTAAACGCTGTGTGCTAACTGCCTACACCGGCCTCAGTCGCAATCTTCTGCGGCTCCAATACTAACAGTTGGTGAATGTCAGTTGCGTACAATATCCAAGATATATACTCCTTTGAAAGGAATCTTCATGCCACCTTGTTTCCTGGCCTAGGTTTATGACATTGCGATAGTGGCAACACACGTGATTTCTAGCTTTACGTTAAACACCCTGATAGTGTTGATGAACCACTTTACGAGACCTGCCCACTTCTGAATCCGGAAGAGCACATGATTAACTGCGGAATAGTGATATTGGTTCGTGTGCTGGTAAAACTAAAATAATATTGCGATATATGGAACAAACATGTTTCAGAATACAACACGCACACTGATACCACTGTTTTTGATAATGACTTTTTTACTTTATATATTGTTTTTTAAATTCTTGCTCCCAACAGTGACAATGCCGTCCTTGACAGCCGCACTTCCAAACTCTAGGGCTCAGCTATGGTTTTTCAGCGACTCCGCCTGCCTACTGCGGAGTTACAACTTCCTCAACAATGGCGGAATCCAGTCGTATTTCGAGGTATCCCTATGATGAATTGACATATATTTCTAGTTATGGATATTGTAGAGTCTCGTATTTTAACTAACCACGTTTTGAGAAACCTTATGTCGAATAAATGATCAGGATCACGACCATTACTGTTTTATGTGAAATATTTGATTTTGTTCATAGTGGCCTCGAGCCGAGAGCCTTGTAATTGTAGTGTTTAGTTTTGTTAATAATTTTAGTATATTTGTAAATATTATTTGGGATGGGGGAACGGGAGGAACTCTTACCAATGATTCAATGATTGAGCGGCTAGAATGCAGTTTACCGGATGCAGCACCAGCCAGCGATGACTGCCAGCCGATGGAGCAATCATCGCACTATAGCGCGCCTGCTGCCTCGCTATATCGCTGCTTGTCTCACGCAACGGTGGCAAAGAACCCTTTACGATCCTTAGGGTTAGGTTAGCGTTAGGTACCCTTTCCGATCCAGAGGGTTAATGTTTAGGATTCAGCCAAACGTGGTTCTCACCAGGTCTTACAGATCACTCGATTTGTTGCAGTGATTATGTCACGAATATCGGGTCCACTGGCTAAGGAAACGGGCGGGCTTTGAATTTCGCTTTGTACCTCTCCCCAATCAAATGTGGTTTGAGTTAGAGCATATCCTACATCCAATCATACTCTAATACACATAATACTGTTTTAAATACTTGCTCACTTCCCATTCTCTAGCATGCTTTTCTATTTAAGAATTTCAGAATTGAACTCTGAACTCCGAACTCTTTTCATCATGTTCACAGTAACAGATATGTTTTGGAGTTGTTGTTTTTTTAAAGATTAGTGCTAAATATATAAAAAACCCAGCCTTGGTGAAGTGTATGATGTTAAGTAATAAAGGGATTGAAGATTACCTTTAAATTTCATTTTAATGTTCTAACTGAATGCGGCTTAGCTCAGCTGCTGTGTCCTACAACTTTAACTGTGAAGGGGTTACTGAGTTTAATCAGGCCCTCTTGTGTCTAGTCAGGGCTTTACAGGGTGTGGAAATTCATCAGAGCCTAATGGGTCTTAGATATGTTGGTCCTATTGGCTGACTGGTAAACATTATTGAGTTCCAACACTGTTCACTAGTGGTGGTCTGATTAATCGAAGATTGGTCGCAATGACTAAACGACCAAGCAATCGATCATGTTTTCTCGTAACTGAACACAAACAATTTTGGAACACTTATTTTGCTTTAACAATACTTTTCAAAAGGTTGGTTTTGTCTGTTACATTTCATAAGCACTACCAGCTCGTTCCAAGTCAGGATTGAATTTATCTTAAAGACTTTACTTAAACATACTAGTCATCCTTTAAAGTTTAAAGATGTAAAATTTGCAAATGCATTTGTGCAATTTGCAAAAAACTCGAAAGAACTACATGCTCTTTCTTTGTTTTTTGTGCATTAACAAACATAACCCGGAAAATTTGATAAATGACACTAACCAATTATTTTTGATGATTGATTGGTTTCAATGAACCAATCATCAATTAAGAGATTTAACCAATTCCCAACACTACTGTTCACCCATGCTGTGGGTTTTATCAAGCAACAATGAAACTTGTATCCTACCCTGAATGTTCAGAGTAGCCTTCTACCAAACTGAAACCCAGCTTACACAGAATGATCATGGTGAAGACAACTCCCAATTAATTGTCACAGTCCGTTTATCATGTTTATGATGTGCATAATGTCTTTGGAAAGTTCTTTGATAATTGATATGACAGTCGACATGATGAAGATAATGTTCCTGTGAAGCTGGATTACATGTATTACCTATCTGTTGCAGTATGCGGATGGCCGATGATGGCAACAGCAAAGTGATGAAGACAATGATCATGTTCAGCATAGGAATGATCACCTGTCCAATCTTCTCATATTTCTTCAGTAAATCATTTATATTTGAAGGTGCGTACGGTCAGACTTGAATTACTGTTCGTTAAAAATGTGTAAACATAAATTAACAGCAAATTGGATATTGTGTGTAACTTGTGTTAAAAGACACACTGCTTATGTCTTTCTTTGTCATTTTTATTTTTCAGTTTGTGTTAAATTTGAGTTTATTCCATCCTCACCATATTGCACAGTGTCAGTTTCTTATTCACCAGCTGATAATTTAAGTTGTGTTACTCATTCACTCAGTCCGCTGATTATAGACAATTTACTTTAGTAAGATTAGGATCTTTCAATATGTTCCTCTAGTAGTTTAGGTACTATATGTCAGAAAATGGTTTGCATAAACTTTGAAATGCTTTAAAAATATAACATAATAAAACGTTTACATGTTTGAAAAATATGTACTACAGCATGTACAGTGTCTTTATCTTTCTGCTGGGTCATTTGTAGTTGGCAATGATTAACACTCTTTGGTGATGTGACAGGGTGTGTTCATCACTCTCACAAGGAACACATTTTAGTTAGCCCTCGACTTAAATTGTATAAAGTACTTTCAAGCTGAGTATTGCCGTGTGTAAGCCATCTGTGTACACATTATGTCTGCTACTGAGCAGTGATCAGATTAACTTTTGGGTCCATCAGCTTCCATGTTCCAGTTTAAGAAAAAGTATTGTTACAGAAAATAATTTATAAATGACTTCTACTCATACTGTTCTCAAACATTTATTGAGATAGAATTTCTTTTCATATTATGTCAATGTTATATATACAGGTAGCTTCTAGTTTATCTACTCATGTAAACTCCAAATGTACTACAGGCCTGTGGCCTTTTTAAATACTGAAATAAAAGATTGAGCGTCTATGTTGACAAAGTACCCGTAAAGATCAGGGTAAGAATTGGTCTTCAGTAACCCATGCTTGTAAGAGGCAACTAACAGGATCGGGTGGTCAGGCTCGCTGACTTGTTTGACATGTTATTGTAGACCAATTGCATACATCGATGCTCATGCTGTTGATCACTGGATTGTCTGGTCCACACTAGATTATTTACAGACTGCTGTAGCTGGAGTATTGCTGAGTGCAGTGTTAAACAACAAACCAACCAAAAATGTCGACTCTGTTTTGGTAACCAAGGGACGCAACTCTGTATGTCAGCTCTCATTGCCCATGGTGGTGATGTTAGTGGTGATAAACTATTGATACTGCCCATCACATGTTTATTGTTACGGTTTGTGTTTGCAGGTTTGTTTGGGATGCCCCATGCGAGCAGCTACTTCTACGCTGCAATAGTCTCCATCGTTGTGGTGCACATCATCCTCTTTATGTTTATATATGTAGCATGGACAGAAGATGCTAAGCCACAACCACCCTTCAAGATAGAATAACACATTATAGAATGCTGTAATCTCACAGCTGTCCTGTGTACATATCTGGACATTTCCAAGGGATTTGCATTTTGTACATAAATACATGGTTGGGGACACATCTTTCTTTTAGTGTACTGTCAATGAAAGAATGTCTGTTTTACAATAACACTTTTAAAGTTTTTGCTTTTGATTACAGATTATTTACTGTTTGCTATATGCATGTAGATCACGAGGACATTCTTTAACAATATTTCATTTAATACTGAGTACAATATTCGTGATGAGAGCTAATATATGTAATGATTATAGTTACACAATGAGGTGATAATCTTTTGTATTTGCTTGGGATTATCCAAGCTTACTGTGTACTATCTTTACTATTTGAACACATTGCTGTCCTTCTTGTATGTGAAATCCCCATACAGTGCTATTTGGATCTCCTTTCAAGTATAGGAAGTTGCTGAAAGGAATAGACCCAGTATATTGATGGGACGTTAATTCAAGGGAAATAACTCATGTCAACTTAACGACTTAGGAATTTTGGGTTTGTTTGGGTGTGTTTTTTCAGGCTGGCTGTTTGTTAAACAGATCAGTCAGCAAGTATGGGTAAAATATGTTGTTCTTTAAGGACAGGTTCATGTTAAAAAGCCCAACAAATTGTCTGGTTTCATTCACTATGTGAAGGTTTGTTTAGGGAGTTGAATCTAGTCTAATATAGTAATAACAATGATTATCTTGTCTACTTTGCTTAGGGACCAACCGTTTGATATTGTGCTGGGATATTCTTGGATATTTGTTTTAGACAAAATATCTTTCAGTGTGAGTGCTTTCAGTCACTTAATTCTTACTAACTTTACCACATTTTCCATCTGGCATGCCGAGTAAATAGTTCATATATTTTTGTGTAACATAAGGACCATTCTTTCAACAGCACAGTATTCTGGGGAACATATAACATTCTAAAAGAAATCCTAAGTCCCACCAAAGAGTTTTAAATGGCCAACTCCTTGTATTTTATTGGAGAAATATATGACTAATGGTTGATGTTTATCGGTCTATGAAGCACTGCACAACTCTTAATTTATTCTCCCTTTAGTGCTATATTGTACAATGCACAAACAAGTGGTTTATGTCTTATATGATGCATCAACATTATGTAAAGCTTATTTCAAGATGTTTATTGAATTAACCAGCTTTAATAACATTTCCACCTATTCAGAATAAGGGTAACTACTTATACAACATAACTTTCTAAGTGGCATTGTGTATTCATACCTGAATAAAGTTTCATCTCATTTTCGTCCTTATTATTTTTTATCAACCTCAGTTTAAAACAAAATTGAATGCAGGCATGTATTGTTTGTTTTTCATATTTCTTGTCAGTGTTGATGTTAATGTTATTTTCTTTTGTCAAGTTCTTTTATAAGTGATTTCCAAGCAAATCTGAAAGTTGTGTAATTGTCTCTGGGGCCAGGTTGTAGTGCGGGGATTAGTCAGAATCAGATATAGTAGAAACTTTCACATTTGGTTAACATATGCCATAGTGTTTTCAATTTACTAACAATACATGATGATTGGTCTGTTTGTTCATTTATGGTATTATACATTTAAAACTGCTTATGCATACCCAGATTTTCCCAAGAAATTCTGCTCACTGTTTTCATGTTTATGATTTCATGATGAAACCAATTCTTCTAATATGTCAACAATAGAAAACCACTTCACTAACTGCTGATTGTAGCTTTGGCAATGTCTTTATAAGAAATACAATATGATATTAGAGGAGTTGTTTCTGTGCAATAATGCCAGGCAAGACCTGCCTATTCCTATTGTCAACAAATCGAGAAAAATTAGTTCATTGCAGGGCATCAGGGCGTGGGGTAGCCTAATGGTTAAAGCGTTGGCTCGTCACGTCGAAGACCCGGGTTCGAATCCCCACACGGGCACAATGTGTGAAGCCCATTTCTGGTGTCCCCCGCCGTGATGTTGCTGGAATATTGCTAAAAGCGGCGCAAAAAAACCAAACTCAGTCATTGCAGGGCATAGTCTAGTTTTGGTTCATGGAAATATAATGCTTTAAAACAGTTTTATCAGCCAACAAAATGGCTAGGGGAATCACTTGCTAAGTGTTAATACTCACCTAAATAAGTAACAAAGAAGCTGAGTATGTAATAGTTTATTTGTATCGACTATGGGTCATGTATATTTTGATTTTGTAATAAAATGTGCCAATTTCTGTTGATCTTTTGTGTTCTGGTTGTGCATTCAGTAGGCAGTGCAGGAGGTTGGTGGTGGTTGACATGGCCATCTTTCTTTGCAAAAAGAGATCATGATTAGAATTGAGGTATCGTGGATTTAACCACATCTACCCCATCTATACTCGGAGATGGTTGTTGTGTCCAGTCTCTTTTCCTTCCTGGTTATTGGCGAGGGCTTATTGATAAGTTTTTAGCCTGAGACGGAATTGTGTAGCAAGGAAATCGTTTGTTGTGGACATTACATGATATCATAGAGGAATGTTAGAAAAAGGTAATACCCACCCCATGGTGTCACCGTGATATTGCTAAAAGCGGCGTAAATCCATATTCACTCACTCACTGAGGTTATTGTGGTATGATTGCGCAGATCGATGATGCTCATGCTGTTGATCACTGGATTGTCTGGTCCAGACTCGATTTTTTACAGACCGCCGCCATATAGCTGGAATATTGCTGAGTGAGGCGTAAAACTAAACTCATTCACTATTGTGGTATGAAAAATAAGAAAAAGAGAAGTTATTTGAAAAACATTGTACCCTTCCATCCGCGTTGTGCGTTTTGCACAAACAGTGGCTCTGTCAAACGTCCGCCTGTTTCCAAAGAGGAGGAAAGATCATTTGGACTCGAACGATTAAGTCATAGCAGCTACGAGTATGGAGAAGCTGTTCGACAGACGTCTACTAAACTAGGATAATACCAGTCAGTCTCTAGTTGGCGAAAGTGTCCATGTAGAAGGTGATCATGCCAACATTTACATGGTCAGAGTGAGCTTATGTTAGGGGTTTTAGTCAGCGTTTAAAACCTCCTCCAAATCTTCTGAAATTATGGGAATTATTTTGTTAATAGAACACACGTTCTATATGTCCCTCGTTACAAATATTTTTCTTGTGAAATAATTATTTTGAGACAGCTTTGAAGATGAAGACCACATTTTATTGAATTATCTGTCAACTACCTTTTGTTCCCAATACGACCATCGTGTGAAGCCCATTTCTGGTGTTCCCCGCCGTGACATTGCTGGGATATTGCTAAATGCGGCGTAAAACTAAACTCACTCACTCTTCCCAATACGTTGAGATTTAGTATGAAGATAATGCAACAATTAAGATTTGCACAGTTATCTTTCCAAGTTAGTTGAGCGTGCTGTATGCACACGACTTTCTGAACATCTTGATAAACATGACCTTCATGATCATCTACAGTCCGCCTACCGTAGCCATCATAGCACCGAGACTGCATTGCTGAAAGTGATCAGTGACATTCGGCTTGGCATCGATAACAAGAATCTCGCAGTCTTGGCACTTCTTGACCTAAGCAGTGCATTTGACACCATCGATCACTGCAAACTCCTGGAACGTCTGAGGTTGGAATTTCTCATCGGTGGAACAGCTTTAGACTGGTTTAAATCATACCTGTCCGATAGAAGTCAGTGTGTAATCATTGACAAGTTGTCATCTGACCCATCATATCTTACGTGTGGGGTTCCACAAGGATCCGTCTTAGGACCGGTTCTTTTCACCTTGTATATAAAGGAGCTTGGAAGTGTCGTGGAAAGACATGAAGCGGACAGACATCACTATGCTGATGACTCTCAAGTCTACAGATCCATGGAGTCAAGGCCACTTCAGGCGCACAGGGCTTTGAGTGAATTGAGCACTTGTTGTGAAGACATCAAGGCGTGGATGCATTACAACAAACTAAAACTGAATAGTGACAAGACGGAATGCATTGTCCTAGGGCCACAGAAAAGGAGATCACAGTGTGGTCTTACATGTTTTAGGTTTGATAATACAAACATCCAAATCGCTGACAAGGTCAAAGACCTTGGTGTCTGCTGCACCTATAGTGACCCAGTCACGTAAATCTGATGACGCTCTGAAACTCCTACATTCTTTACATTGGCTGCCCATTCACTATAGGATTCAATTCAAGCTTCTGTGCCTCACTTTCCGCTGTCTGTCTGGATCTGCCCCTTCGTATCTGGCCCAGTCCCTCACACAGCACCGCCCATCTCGCTCTCTCCGTTCACAGGATAAACGTTTCCTCGTTATCCCCACTGTTAGGACTTCTACGTATGGTGAAAGGTCCTTTTCGTATGCAGCCTCTACAGCCTGGAATCAACTACCTCAATATCTACGTGACTGTACAGAACTTTCTAATTTTAAATCTTTACTAAAGACGCTCTTTTTCAGATTAGCTAATGAGTGTAAACGATAATTCATTGCATTGTTTCCATGTATTTCTCTAATCTTTTATTCTCTCCTATAGTCTGTTTGTATGTACTTTTATGTCTTGCGCTTTGAGCATGTTGTACATGGAAAACAGCGCATTACAAGCATGCTATTATTATTATAATGTCATCCACCGCTTAATCCTGCCAATATTCAGTCATTTACAGACCATCATAAATCCGAATAGAGCTGGACATTTGTTGGCTGACGCGTTGACAACAAACAAACGTAGACAAAATGCCTTTCATTCGTGACCAACTCGTGTTATTCGGGGACGGTTACGGAAAGGGGCGAGTGGTGACGAATGAATGCCTTTAACAAATGCAAGTATTGGATTGCATGGTCTGTGGATAAATGAGAGACTTAACATATCCTCCATACTCATTCCTTCCATCCCTTAATAAAGATGAGCTTCTGTACCTTACATACTATGTTATATGGATTGTTTTTCCGTTCAAAAAGCACGATGACACTATTTAACACTCGATTTGTGAATAAAAGATAACAGGTATCCAGAAATGTGATTGTGGCCTTGGACTATCTCAGTTATCTCCAGGGAGTATTCATGCTCTCAGTAGAAGGCTTATTAATAATAATAATAATAAGGGTACTTCGCAATACCCATACAGAATGGAAGCGCGCATGTTTATCAAAAGTCATATGAATCAGTATTGTAAAATATGATGGAGAGAGTTACGATATCGACTGAAAAGGTGTGTTTTGAACATAAGTGGAGGATTTGAGAAGTTTAAACTGCAAAAGAACGGGCAAAATGTCTTGGTTATTTTACCCGAATGAAGATATATCAAATGCGTGATGATGTATATGGAACATACGTCAGGATTGGATTTAACGAAGCTAAACTATTTTCATGAAAACTTGACAACACTTTCTTTGTTTGAATTTCAACTATATTTCGTCAATTAAGGTCGAAGCAAACACATCAGTTCAGTTATTTGTATTTCTTCATCGCCTCCCAGTTTGGGAGGAAATTTCAAACATCTCATAACAAAGCTTGCTTGGCTTACACTGGTCAGTGCTGCATGGATAGTATCAAAATGAATTTTGCAGAAAAACGAGTAAAATGAAAGGTAAGAAATCAAATTATATATCGTCATTGGAAAAGGGAGAAACACCAGAGAAGACAGAAAATTCGTATCTTTCATAACATGAAATTAACATTTAATAAATGCTCACAATATTTTTCCGTGTACACATTTGTTTTAATGGGAACACATGCCATGCATATTTTTTGTCATAGTTTTAACTACCCGTGGGGGCGGTGGGGTAGTCCAGTGGATAAAGCGTTGGCTTGTCACGCCGAAGACCCTGGTTCGATTCTCCACATTAGGACAATGTGTGAAACCCATTTCTAAAAATGTCCCCCGCCGTGACTTTGCCAGAATATTGCTAAAAGCGGCGTGAAAACCACACTCACTCACTCATAAGTATCCGTGAAGATCCGGGTTAGAATTGGTCTTCAGTAACCCATGCTTATCGTAAGAGGCGACTAACGGGATCGGGCGGTCAGGCTCGCAGCGCTGACTTGGTTGACACATGTTATCGTATCCCGATTGCGTAGACCGATGCTTATGATATTGATCACGGGATTGTCTGGTCCAGACTCGATTATTTAGAGACCGTTGCCATATAGCTTAGTGCGACGTTTAACAACAAACCAATCAACCATACCTTTCAAGTGCAGACCAAGTAACTGTTGTAGCATGACCGTTCCTCGCCTCCATGGACCCGAGAGCCGTTCCAGTACAACCAGCTCAAGTGGGTGGACGCCTCCAACTACACTGGGAAA